AGCGGCGGCGGCGGTGGCGGCGGCAGTGGCGGCGGCGGCGGAGGCGGTGGAGGCCGAGGAGGAGGCGGTGGCAGCGGCGGTGGCTCGTACCAAGGTCCAAATTCATACCAAACAAGCTCGGGCGGATACCATTATTAGATAACGACACCGTAAAAGTCATTGCGTATTTACACGATCAATTCTGTTCCATTACAGTAATCGTATTTAATGGCGGATTTATGTACATAAGAATATATCGTTTATGTAACTTTTTTATTTATACAAAATACGAGTACTCTCATTTGAAATCGTCGGCCCTCTCCCCCTGTATCTCCGTGTGTTCTCGTTCACGGGCGACACAGCTTACGCGAGCTTCGATTCGGCGGTTATATTAAAAATAAATATTTATACATCACATATACACGTTTCGAGAACGGGAAAATACGTTGTTATTTATAGTTACGAATACAAAGTATCATAAATACAGTTGCACGGTGAAATATGCATATAAATACTTACATGAAATAGCATTTTTCAAAGATCCGCGGCGTTTAAACCTGAACGGTAATATTCGAGAAATATAACGTCGTTTTTACATGGTTTATACAATTACTGTACGAACTGTATCTTCCGCCGGTTTTTCGCTATCCGACAGTTCGGACCCTCTGGCGAATTGGATGAACAGCTGCTCCAGTGTTGCCGATAACACAGCATAGTCCTCGATGCAAGAGTATCGCATTCTCAGATTGTTCATCGTGGTGTACATTTTCTCCCACGTCATGCCGGTGTTACTCACGTGGTAAGCAATGAAGCCCTTCAGGGATAAAGAATAAAATGTCATCATTCGCACTTCCAGTGTATCGACATTTCAGAAGTATGTAGAATGGTTACCAAATTCTCGTCTCTGATTTCGCACGCTAGAGAAGACACCATGACGTTCTTTATATTGGCTACGTCGTCATCCGATCGGTTCGGATTCAATTTAATGAGAATATCGTAACCGGCGCCGAATCGTTGCTTCAATTCCTGACTGGCACCGATGCAAACCAATTGACCTTTCACCATAATGACTAGTCTATTACATAGAGCCTCACACTCCTCCATACTGCACAAAGTTTTATTTTACGCGAATTATGATACAATGGCTCTCTAATAATATAAATTACCGGGTCGAGTGAAATACCTGTGAGAAGTAAGTATAATAGCTTGTCCCATTGCTTGGCAGGATTGAAGTATATTCCACAACGATCTCCTGGCAGCGGGATCAACGCCTGTTGTTGGTTCATCCAGCAGAACAAGCGTTGGATTTCCTATTAACGACATCGCAATGTTCAAACGTCTTTTGTTACCGCCGCTGTAAGTACTGCTCGGTTGAGACATGCACGCATTCAAATCTGAAACAGCATACACGATCAAAAGGATCCATCAAATAATCTTTTGAAATAAGTACACGAATGCGTGACTCACTCAGTCGATTGATCCATTTATTGACCTCTAAGTCTACTTTTGATTTGGGTATACCACGAAGCAACGCGAATAAACGGAGATGGTCAAACGCGTTCAAGGAACGGAGCAAAGCATCAGTTTGTGGACAATATCCCATTTGAGCAAGATACTGTAAAGAAAGAAGTAATTCGTGAACGCATGGAAAGGAAATTATATAATCATTAAAATTACCTTCTTTCGATCCGTATGAATATCTGATTTTCCTAAGTACATGGTTCCACTGTTCGGTATTTCTTCACCAGTTAACATCCTGAATGTGGTGCTCTTTCCAGCACCGTTTACACCAAGCAGTCCGAAGCATTCGCGTTGCTTCACTCGAAAACTGATTTCTTTTACCGCCATTAATTTTCCATAAGATTTGCTGAGCTCGTAAACCAAGTACAGACTGTCGTTGCTGTTCTCTGGACTTTCCGAGTAATTTGAATGGGTGATATTAACTGCTTTGGAATTTTCTATTTCATTTGTCGCGCCTAAGGGGAATGTTATTCTTTTAAATATCATGAATGTTATTAAATATCGTGAAATAGTGTTTCATAACGCCATACCACGGTTTCTCAGTTTCCTGATCTCCATTGCAACAGCATGTTTCTCTTTCTCCACTTGTTCATCCTTTATATCAGTGGGACCTGTGCTTGTTAAGTGCTTGTTAAACAGTTTAACATATAATTTATTGAAAAATCCCTCTTCAAACAAAATAAGCAAAACGAAATATATCAACGGTGTCACCGACAAATAAATTACACATTCTAACAAGCTCATATCGTCGTCCTCAGTTTTAAAATAAGACAACTGATTTTTACAATCTCCGTCTACGCAGTCCAGCCCTGCAAAAAACATGTTATTAAAATGCTACGAACGTGAAAAATCGTTAATTTATTCGTACCACAACAGATATCCTTTAGGCCAAGGCAAACAACATCTAGCAATCGATTTGGCAATCGACGACACCTCGCATTTTGAATGGCTACATTGAAAAACGATAATTGACCATGGAAAAGGCTCACGTGAGGTATCAAACGGAATAATCTCTTTTGCATCATGTGCAATACTTTCAAGTTATCGAGGCTATGGATCACTTCGTGCAGAACGTACTGCAATAAGACTGAAATACAGTAACATACATTTTATTATCCATTAACATTAAAACCTCACGCTGATGCAATTATAGTGATAATTAAATATAACTCACCAAATCCAACAGGTGCAAGACTCAATATAGTTACAACACTATTTCTCGATATCCTCGAGAAACTAAAGATATAAGTTATTAACAAAGAGTTGATACCAAAGAGTAATAGCAGTAGTATCATTGTTACTGAAAACAAAAGCACAATAATTTCTCCAATAACTGAAGTACATCTGAGATTCGACTATGCTTAATATTCTACTGTCTTACATATTTCTATCCTGTAGTACAAACGGATATCCAGTATAACATCCATGAAATAAAATCCAAATACAATAATAATTACAGATGCTGTATAAATTATGAGGTCAAATGTGAACATGGTGCACCAGTACGACACAGATGTAACTCCAGTCATCCTTTGCAATTGTTTCATTTTAGTCTCTGTTTCTTGAAAGGGGTGAACGACAAAAAGTGCCACAGTTGGAAAGAAAAAACAACAAAATATCAAGACCCGACTTAACGATTCCGTTTCTGGCACGTAAAACTGCGTGGCAGAAAGACTGCTTGGTAACCGCTGGCTCGATACACGAATCGAGTATTCCTCGCCGGCAACGCTTTTGATCAATACATTTGATAAAAGGTTCATAGTTAATGGTATACTATGAATTGCAATTCCAGAATAAAAACCATTGGCATACAACGATCCATCCGATATATTAAATTCCGCAGAAACGATATAATGGTTGCGATAATCCGAAATACTTTCAACAGAGTGGTTCAATAATGCTAGAAAGAAAAAGATTTTTACAAGTGACCTAAAACTAAATCGTAAATAATATTCACCTTGCGTAACACTTGTATTCTGTATCACTTCCATCGAAGATCCGCCAAAACTTTCTACCGCGCTTTTGTAATATTTACCGAAGGTAGCATTTTGGCTTGAATACAAAGCTTTGGAATTTCTGTACATGCCAAGTTCTATTGGAAATATGTCTGTCGATTCATTTGGTGTGTCGTAACTCAAGCCCATTAATACAACCGATAAAATTGGGAGAAATAACTGGAACAATTACATTCGCTATTAAATTCCGAAATGTTTGCAACTTAAAAGCGTTGTACTCGTGCAACTTACCGTGAGTAATGTATTGCTTAAATTTTTGAAAGTATACGTCGCTTTCTTATGGTAAAGTGCTAAAATTGTTTGCATGTATAGATTCCAACCTTCTACTCGTTGCGATGGAGGACAAAATAATTCATTTAGATATTTTCCATTATCTTCCTTTTTAATAACTCTAAAAAAGGAAACAATGGATTGATTTTTCTCTGAATGGTTTCATAAAAGTAAAACACATTCAACAATAACATACTTCAAGAATACTTCTTCCAAGGTGATAAGCGATACACTAATTCCTGTAACACCCAAATTCTTTTTCTCATTTTCCACATTGTCTAAAGATTGTGGTAAAGTTTCAGTGTGAGGTACACTTAAAACAATTTTCTCGCTGTCCACATTCACGGGCTGTGTTCTTGGATCAAATTTACTTATAACTTTATCAGCGTTACACCATGATTTAGTTGATAATGTAACTTCAATATGCCCGTAACCTAAAATTAATTAATATTTTAGTTACTACTGTAAGGTAAAATAATTTATGAAATACACAAATTCTAAATATAATGATTTCACTCACCGTACTGCTTCTTTAAAAATAATGACGTGCCATAACATTTTAATTTGCCCCCGTGTACTATTGCAATTCTATCTCCCAAAATATCAGCTTCCTCCATATTGTGAGTGCTAATCAAAATTGTTTTCTTTCCTCTTATTTTCTGCATAAAATTATTTATGATATTAAAATTTGCATACTATATAATACACAAGTTATTCTTACTTTAAATAGATTCTTACCAATATGATATCCCATATGTCTCTTCTAGTTTCAGGATCCATTCCTGACGTAGGTTCATCCAAGATGATAATCTATATAAAATAAATTCGAATAAGACATGTTCCATGCAAATTTAGATTAATGTTAATAAATCCTTACACTAGCATCGCCAATAAGAGCCATTCCAAGACAAAGCCTTCTCTTTTGTCCACCGGATAATGTGCTCGGCAAAACATTTCCTTTATCACTTAATTTTAATTTCTCAAGTAAAGTTATAATGTCCTGTTTAATCTGTTTCCTTGTTTTAGTAGAACCTTTTAACTAACATGCCACAATTAATGTTTTTTTATTAAGTCCAATAATATAAAGTTAATTATTATACTACTTACTAGACCAAAGAATTCCAATTGTTCAGATACACTCAGATCTGGGAAAACCATGTTTTCCTGTGGGCATAAGCCTAAATCATTTCTAATGACTGGTAAATGGGTTTTAATGTTTTTACCATTTATAAGAACCTTTCCTCCTGTTGCACTTATTACTCCTAACAAAAAGTGGATAACAGAAATGACTTACTGAATATACATACTTTTCATAAAATATATGGTAAAATTTCTACCTGTTATAATAGACATAAGTGTAGTCTTTCCAGCTCCATTATGGCCTAATAAAGCTGTTATTTGACCTTTATATAAATCCATTGAAATTCCTTTTACAGCTTGGACTGTCTGTAATATAGTTATCATATAGTAAAAATAACAAATTTTAGTGTAATCAAAACATACCGTTCTTCTTAAATAACTAGTTGTATAAGTTTTCTTAAGGTTTCGAATCTGAATTCCAGGAGTAAGTGCACCTTTTGTTACTGGTTCAAAATTTTCGTCATCTATACTATCATAATCAAAATCATCCATATCTTCATCAAGGTTTACTTTATTTTTCTTGATATACTACAAAATAGTCTTTATCATTAGAATGTTCATGTCACATATTTATAAAAATATTGAATAAAAATGTCGGAATATATACTTTCAAAAAATAAAGTGGATCCTTGCGTACTCCATATTTTCCTGGAAGTATAGCATTAATATATAAAGCAAGTGTAAGATGTAACATCAATCCCAGCAGCGAAAAGATTAATATACATCCAACACATCCAGAAGTATTATACTGTATATCTCCAACAAGAAACATATTTGACCATTGTATGCCAGTTACTAAAAATCAGTATATTTAATATTCTATTAATCTATGCACAATACAATTGAAAGGTATTAAAGTGACTATTAAGAAATATTTTACATACGTCTTGTTTCATATATGTTCACCTCTTCTAAGAATCTAAATAATAATATATTTGGAAATAATATTCCCAAGCCAGGTATTACAGAAAAGAGTTGTTCTTTTATTAAATTTCCATGGAGTGAAAAAGATGCAGTGTAAATAACCGATAGTGTTATTGTCACAAATCGTGCTGTAAAAGAATTGTAAATGAACTACTGACATTCATTAATTTTATATGTATTCTATAAATGTGGAACTTACGTTTCGAAAAATAAGCAGCAACATGCATCCCAAATGATATTAAATGTGCCACGTGTACTGTAAGTATTAACCAGAATATAAAAGAATTACTGTAATGCAGATATGGCTCTACATTATCAGAAAATGTGTTTTCAAATAATACTGTTATTGGTACAATGTAAAAAATACTAAACAGTATGCCAGTAATTAACCAGCTAAGTAAATTTTGATAATGTTTCACACCATTCATTGCCATTAAAACGTTCACACCAATATATTTTTCCTTTGTCGCGTAATTTGTTTCCATACAAAGTGGAATTAAAAAAGCAATAACTGCAAACATACATATTACCAGTCTTAGTATTATATCGGATGAATCTATTCTAACATGAGGTGGATAAGGCATCCTCTGTATGGACACCTAAAATACACATTAATGATTATTCACATTGAAACAGTTTATTACAAGCTAAACTGATATACTTCTTAGTTTTTAATACCTTTATATCAGGCTTTGCATGTACTGCTGTCAGATTTACAATAGATTCGTCAACGCACATTTGCAACTGTACAAATGGTATAGCATGAAAATATAAACTATGCGAAGTATATGATATTTTATCCAAGACATTTTCAAACAGTATACGTGGAATGTTCAGGGCATGTCTGATTTTGTACCTTATATCACTTGTATTATATTGTTCAAACACAAGAGCTAACATCTTAATAGTTGGAAGCTTTGCTTCTAAAACTGTATAACTTTTTATCATTTTATCTTCGGATGAAAATCCAAAAACCTCTGTAAAACATAATAATATTTATAGTATCATTTAATGTAAAATGCAGGAATTAAATGAAGTATTAAACGATGAGCATGATAATTACTTTCAGCTGGTAATTTTAGACACATCCGAGTGTCCTCTATAATCTTTTCTGTATACTCATTTTGTGGCATGTAATAGAGATATGTATATCCCATATTTATATCTGTTAGTTCATCTGTGTCTTCCAGAGGATAATAAGTATTTTCATTAATTACTTGAGGTGGTTGAACACTAAAATCTCTTACAGCTTGTATTAATACAAATAAGGTAATTGGTACTAAACATTGCAAAAATACTGCTGACTTCCAATGCCTAATTCGCACCAGCAGATTTTTATATAGCAACAAGCCAAAAATTCTAATTCCATTTGCCATTTTCATTTCCAATTCTTATTAATGGTTCTCCTTAGAAAAAATGTCTAACGTTGAACAATCAATAACATAGTATACCCTTCAAGTATACAAATCGGCCGTTGATATTGAAAGTTCATGAAAGTACTATGAATAAATAATAATAATTGATGTGTGAGTCAGCTTATAAGCTGAATATATGTTCTTGTAGAATACAATAATCATATATATATCAACCATGAAACCTTAACAAATAAACTGTCATTGTACTTATTAAATTCCTCATTAGTGACAAATTTATTTAAATATAAAAATGTTTCTTCAATCCTTTTATTAAATAGTGATTGTCATAATAGAAGTGACTAAAACACAAATTGTAAACATATTATAAATGGCATGTACAACACGGTGAAGAAAAAATATACAAAAAATGAGTTATTTAGTTATATACGTACCTGACAGGTATGTCATGTCATTCTTATTAATTACATGTGTTTACGAATGCATAAAAACATTCATGTAATATTTCAACGAACGTTATAAACTTCGAGGACTATGTTATCACTGGTTGTATTTTTATGGAATTCTGTTATTACCACCGAACGAAATTATCAGTCCCGAGTACTTTAAATAATCCATATTCATTGTCATCAATCATCGTTCTATAACGTACTACAAACATCTAACGCAAAATGCATTCACTAATTTGACACGCAACCCTGTATGTATACAATTATGTGTTCAGCTGCGTTTTCAATCATCGGCCATATTTCTGTAGATAATTATGACAGATAATTTTATCTCTTAAGACTTAAGACGTTAAATGTCATATATAAGAACTAAATTAACGAATTCAGATCATATTTTTAATGAGATTTAGCGAAGGTTACGAATAGGAAGTTAACAATTATAATGATTTAAAACATACCTTGAAACAGGGGTGTCTAAGCGTTGTACGTGAGCACTCAGTTAGATGCCCTTGCTTAAATTAAAACATCTAACACAGAAGTCCGCCTTAACGTTTAAAACGTGTGTCGTCAGTTGCATGACGTACAAGCTGCCAGTGTTGTGCATAGCAAAGTGCCTGAATTAGAAGGGAAGCAAATGAATTTGGCTTTTAGCCAGTGAATTATCGAGCGAAGAAATTTTAAACGTCGATAGATTACAAGACGTGAGTACCCAAAAGATTCTGCGCTTGGTATTTGCGGGAAAAATTTTTTTGTCTACTTTGCTTTAAAATGCAATACGTGATACCCCCTAGTCTTATCATAAGTATCACAAAGTAACACCTTAGATTTTGATGAAAGAGCCGTATATAATTTATATGCTTACTAATGCGCAATTAAAATAGAAAAATAATTTAAACAATTGCACTGTTTCGATATTATCATGTTACTCTTTTAAATATCTTTCCGAAAGGTTAAATAACGTCCGTTATTGGAACGAAGCCTTACACGAAACTTCGCGTTAGTAATTCAAATAAAAGTATTTTTATGAAGAACGAATATAAAGAAAATACTGCTCTAAACATGATATGAAAGTAGGAATAGACTAGTGATTTCATTTAAATATTCAACAGCAAAATGATGAAGACAGCACTTTGTTTTCATAGATTTGTAATCTTTTGTAGACAATGCCATGGATTGCTGTTATTTTAACAGAAATGGAAGTTTTGAGACAAAAAGAGAACTTCCAAACATTTCTAGCCCAGAGATGTTTAACAGCGACGATGAAGATGATAGACAAAACGATGAAGTAATAGAACATGAGCCAGAGGCAATACCAATTAGTCCTGAGAAACCTTCTCAAGCTGATTTAATTGCTAAATCTGATAATAATTTATTAGGCAGAATTAATAAATTTTTGAGCGGAATACCCCCACCACCTAAGCATACAATTTGCCGAGCTGACTGTTCAGAACTTTTATTACGTATTTATGAAAATAGCCATCTCTTTTGGACACCAAATGTGTTGCCGGAGAAACAATCGCGACCTGATGTAAACCAAGATTCTCCAGAGCAACAGAAAGAAAATATCAGTACAAATAATTCTGTGCAACTCAGCAGAAATACACCTAGAAATTTATCTACTGCTTTTGATGCATGTGATCCACAATGTCAAAATAATATTAGTAATAATCTAGATACAAAGGATGTTAAGAATAATATTTGCCGTGATAATTTTAGAATAGAACAAGTAGTTCCTACTAATAAGAAAAATATATCAGACAATCAAATAAGTACCACAACAAAGTCTTTGAAAACTGATCAAGAGCAATTACTTCTTTATCATACAGTCAGTGAAAAAGAAGCTGCCAGTTTAACGTGGCCTGAAGCATATTTCCACAAATTTCATGAAATTTAGTAAGTGTACAAATAATTTGAATGACTTGTCTAACAACCTTTTTTTTCAACAGTGTTTTCAACTTTACTTCAAAACTTTCAGTTATAACAGAAATAAAGCTATGGAGGATTTCGAAAATTTGTCAATAAAATTATACCAGAGATACATAGGGGCTGAAACTCAATCCACTTGTACTGTTTGGTTCTCCAAGCCAGCACCAGGAAGCGCCAAAAAACGAAATCTTTTAGCTAAACGTGATAATGGTCAAAGTCCGGGGAAAAGACTAAGTCATTTAACGCGAAGGCGGAGAACATTCTCTAGTGCGAATTTACAAGGACTAGCGCTCAATAATAAGAAAATGCTAGTGTTAAATATTAAGTATGTACCTAGGCTTACAATATCCTAGTTCAATTTAAATTATATATTTATTCTGGTTCTCTTCGACTTAGGAAACCTACTATTAAGAAAGGTAAAAGTCCACGGGGAAAAAGTCCTCGCTGTAAAAGCCCGAGAGGGACCCCTAGGAGTTCAACAAAGAAGAAAGTAGCTCGAAGACTTGTTTTAGACGGCCCCAGTCCTTTGAAAGCGAAAGTAGAGACATCAAAGCGGGCCTTGTTTCAAAGTCCTCCCTCCGATAGAGCCGGTCCGAGCAAGATATTGTCGAGTGGAACGAATGCCCAGAGTATTAAACGCGCATTATTCAGTAGCGGGTCAAAGGAAAATAATGCTGAAGCAATGCAAAAGATAGAAGAGTCCAGAAAAAGGAAAAGCGAAGAAGAATTGGAGGGGCCACGATTCAAGTGGCCGAAAAGTTTATCTTTCGATTGCACTCATGAAATGCATAATAATTCTGCAACCGCATGGGATAGACATTCATCTAGTAGCATAATCGACAAAAATAAAGTGATTTCAAACGAGGGGAAAACAGAACTTAGCGATACGCATAGGAAGGTGCGTTATTTTTAAAAGTGTAATTAATCTCTCTTCTTCTAAGCATTATAGAGTATAACAAAACATTTACCTTGCTGTTTAGAAACTACTGTGGGCAGTAGCAGAGGCTTTACGAGGGAAAGGGATCGGCATGACTCATCCGCAATTCAAGCAGTATGCTACGAACTTAGCGCGGACCATCAAGAAATATATGCCCGATCTCGAGAACAGAAATATTCCCCGCAAGCCAGGGAGTACGAGTGACCGGATGTTGAAACTAGCGAAACATCACGTTTTATTCATAATTGAAGCGGGTCCAACCGACTGACAATACTCATTGCTGCTAGACACAAAGAAACTGACTCAACTTTACACAAAGTTTACATTATTTAAAGTACAAGCGATCATTGGTATGTTAAGATAGCATATGCACGCGAACGGTGACTTTTATTTAACAAAGTGTATAGTGAGATAAAATTTGATGAATTGTATTATAATTGAAACTGCACGCGAAAAATATTTCGGAGTGCGGGTACGTGTGACTGTTCAAAAAAAAGGAAAGTGGTGTTTGTGAAGTATTAGATATTTTTTACTGCATAAACATAAATAAGAGAGGTTGTTTTAAATATGCCTATTTTTTTATTAGCGGTAAAATAGTATATATATATATATATTTCACAACTTATAAATAATTAATAAAAGGTGCTTTTTTTTAAAATAAAAACGTAATTTGCAATTAATTTTAGAAACAACGCATGTATACATGTACATATATATATATAATATAGATCCTTCATATCTAGCATACGGTTGTGTCTAAAACATCAAGGAGGGCGAGTAAAAAAATAAAGACTAATCGCGTTTGCAGCCGCGATACTCGTTTATTTATCGGCATTTTTATTCTGCGTTCTGGTGACCTACCCTGGCGATCACCTCATCCAATATTTGTGTCAGTTCTTTGTTTTCTTTAGCCTTCTGTTCAACCAGTTCGGCCAGCGAGTTACTTTTAAGCTCTGCTTTCCTTACCATAGCATGAAGCTTGACTATTTCATCTTCGTGTTGCTTTCGTATATTCTCCAAATCAGAATTAGCCCTAAAATATTGATTAAATCAATTTATGTTAACTAACGGTACGCTGTGCTTATACTTTGTAGATGAACATACTTCTCCAACTGAGAGGCGGCATGGTTCTTCAAACTATCGTACCGCGTTTGTAAGCATTTTATAGTTTCCATATTTTCCTGGATACCTTCTCTTAACACTATCTCATTATTTTTATATACCGATACGACTCCTTTCACCTTTTCGTATTTTTGATGTACATCGTTAAACGCAGCCTCAGTGTTCGACAAATGAACGTTCGTCGCTTGCAATTCTTCTTGTAGTTTCGCCTTCTCTTGCTCGAAATTCGTGCGGTCCCTTTCTCTCTCCGTGAGCAGTCGACTAATCGATTTCTCATATTCCTCGACTACGACCCTAAAAAGGATACGCAAGTTACTTCCACTGTATTAAAAATGCAATGTCTCACAAGTAGCAAACAACTTACGTCATCTGAGATGTACTCTTTACCTCCTGAGCCATTTGTGTCTGTAACTGATTAATTTTCTCCTGGAAAGCATTTTTCTGCCTTTCCAATTCCGCCTTGTGATCCTTCTTCTGTTTCTCCAGCTCTTCTTCTAATTGTAACACGGTTGCTCTCACTAACTCCAACTCCTTGCTCATATTAACATCATTCATGAGCGGTGTGTCTGATTTTGGCTCATCAGTAGCCTGTTCCTATATATATGCGTTTTATTACTTACTAAAATACTATTACTACTACTACTGGCAGCAAATTCTTGTATCAATGAATCGTTTTATAAAGATCAAACTATTCCAAGTGAATACTTTCTGCCAGTAATATTCAATGTACTGCAACGGTTACTAACGATTTTCTCTTTAGGTTCTTCCATTTTTGGTGTCATGCCTGTGGTAATGGGACTATAAAACAGTAATCTGTCTATGGCCGCTATAGCAGGATTACGTTTTGGTGTGCAGATGCTTGGCGGTGGGCTCTCGGTTTTCCCATTCTGTTCTTCGTCGTTAATTGGTTCTGTATTCCCTTGGGGTAACATGCTGGTATCCCCCACCAATGGGTCGAACTTCACATACAACGATTGCGCTCTGAGACGACTTTTGGTTCTGGAATTACCGTGGGCTATCAAAAAATCGAAGCTCGTCGGATCTTGAAATACTGCAAATGACAATCACCGTTGTAATCCTTACAAAAGCGTTACAAATTAATCATTTCACTCGTCGGCAATACTAATTCTACGAATTCATGAAACAATATTCTTCAAACAAAAATGGTACTCACTGTCAGAAGTTGCGGTAACAAAACGGTCACTTTCTTCTGGGAGTTCAAGCGAGGACTTGAAAATATCATTTGCTATCTGCTCAGCAGCCGACTTTAGTTCATCAAAGTTTGGTTGCTCGATGTCAGTAGGCAATGCTAGCGTAGTGCTTTGCCTTTGAGGCTTGAATTCGTTATACTGCTCTTCTACCGGCACGATCTCGGCATCCAACAATGCATCTTCAAAAGTTAACGTCCTATCTAATTTTTCATTGGAAAGTTCTTTGTCCTCTTTTACCTCCTTCACAGATTCTATTACATTTATCGTCTCTAACACCTCTGGAGCGTCCACAAAGTCATCAGACTTAACTTCTTCGACCTCTTTCTCTACTAAAGGGGTGACAACCACCTCGAAGCTATCTACCTTTGGAGTTACTACAATGTCGCTAACAATTTTCTCGCTTTCAGTCTCTACTGGCTCGCTGGTCTCCAAGTTCTCCTCAGTTTTCTCAGGCGTTCTTGGTAACAAGAGAGAAGTCTCATTCAATAAGTTTGTGCAGCTCTCCCTACTGATCGCGGCATCACAGAAGTCGGACGAAATAGTCCCTAGTTCCTTATTAATATTATCCTCGGTCGCTGGGTCGACGTTGTTCGATGAATTCTTGGGCTGCTCGGTGATCGCGACATTCGAGTCATTCACGGGCGATAGAAGTTCGGCCAATGAACTCTTGTCAGCCTCACGAGCATCGTTCTCGGACTGTCGCGAGGAATCTGTTATGTGCAACGAGGTCAAGGTCGGTAGACTAGGCAACGATAAGTCCTCCACATGTTCCGTAAACGTCGACACCGAAGTTACAGAGTCTAACGCGGCGCAGGGTATAGTATTTACAATTACAGAATCGGTCCGTATCTGAATATCCTCATCTACGACCAGCTCCTCGGTTCTAGACGCATCTAGGCTCGGAAAGTCGGACGACAGGCAAACCGTAGAATGTAAGTTAGACTCCTCTGTGCTGAGCGGCGGCAGTGGAAGCTCCTCGACGTCGTCGAAGCTGCTGGTCTGAAGGCTAGGAATCAAGTCATTGTTCTCGCTGGGAGAAATCGGTTTCTCCGTGGGCTCCTCTGTCTGTATCACAGGCGTCAGCAGAATCGGTCGATCCTGAAGGTCCTGCGTGAGATTGACAGCCGAACAGGAACCGGTCTCGATAATCTGAGTGACGTTACAAGACTCGACCAGCGAGCTGTCGGTGACTAGCTCCCTCGTGAGGTCAGCGATCGGCTCGTCGGTGGCGGATGCGAATGTCTGATCCTGACTGAGGTCCTGCGTGTCCTGGAGACAGCTGTACGAGGTGTCCTCGTCGTTGTTGATCTTGATCCCCGCGCAACCGTGAATCAGATCATCGACGTCCGGTATAGTTGGATTCGCGTAGGAGGTGTTCGATATCTGGTCCGGGCTCTGGGGCACCGAATCCGGGCATATGCCGCTGCTGCTCTTTGTGCTGAGGGTGCTGCTGAGGCTCTGGAAACTGCTCGCCGAGGACAGGGACTCTGGGACCGAATAACCAATCGATCCGACGTCGGCGAACTCCCGAGCGAAACGGACCTTCACCTCATGCTCTGCTGTCTTCTGTAGCGAACTGTCGTTGCCGCTCTAATGGACAGAAAACGAAAATTCATTAGTCCTGGTCGAACAGGGAGTGTTCTCGAAGTGTCTCCCACCGACCGCGAAACTTTACACGTGTATAGAGCAACCAACGAGACAAATCCTTTCTTCGGTAGTAACTCGAACTTAGCAGTAACAGTAGAATCATTATTAAGGTTTACACTGAACACTGTATATTCTAGTGAATAAGTTCTAGCTGAAACTTCCTTTTAACACTAGGTTTACGTGCATTCATCGCATAGTTCGTTCTATTGTTCGTATTGCATCAACCGAAATCGACGTGAACATTTTCTAAACGTCATAAAACTTCAGTTCGACGCATTCCGCAAACCTACTGTTAAAATCGAGTTACCATAGTAAATCAAGCGTATCCCATCGTCAGTTGCTTCAGAAATCCGCGAAGCTCTACATAGGAGGGGAACGCTGCAAGAACATTGCTAGCGGGTCTAAACTATATCGGTCGCGCAAGAACACATCGGTGCCCAATGTTCGTACAAAGATTACACGTCACACCTCTACGAATCCGTAGAAATCGCGAGCACTGTTCCGTTCCGACCATTCGATCCGCGAGGCGGTCTTAAACGAGAGTTTCTCGCGTCGCGAGATACGCGGAGAGGAACAGAAAGAGAGCGGGATAAAAAGAGAGAGTAACTCGGAAACTCGAATCAGACGCAAAATACCGGTGGCGTGGGCGACGTCCTTGCCGGGATCGCGGCAGCGCGTAGCAGCAGCTTATTGATGTATTCCATGTTCCCTGCGGAAAACGCGGGTTCTACGTTCGCGTGTCTCGCAGCCAGTTTCACCGTTCACTGAGCCGGATCAGCTGACGTTCGAGCGGCGGATGGCCGCGGATTTCTTTCAGGAATTGCGCAACTTGTTCACCTCGCTGCGACTAATTATAAAATATAGGGGCGGAGAGAGAAGGATTTTGTTTTGCTGAATCCCGCGCCAGTCCCTCGGCCGCGCGCGTACCCATGCCAAGAACAGTTATGAGCGGGCCGCCGCTCATAATGGTGCGGCTCGCGTACTCCGGGCAAAAAACCAGCTCGCGAACGGCCGGGTTCCCCGCATTCTGTGAACCGATCGACGCCGATCCGACAGGAGGTAAGTCGAAGGAAGTGATCTCTCTTCGCCGGGCGGAGCGATCGGTGCATTTCCAAGGCTTCGCGTTGCGTTAAACCGTTGGCAATCGGCGGCTGTGGCCCGTGTGGAAACTCGGTAGATCGTATCGATGTCTTGATACCAATTCGCTGGCAACGGCTTGCAAATATAGATGCTGCCAATGCTTCTCACGCTGTTCTCCATTCTGTTTTCGTCGAGTTACTCGAGTAAATCTAATTTTTGCTCCCAGTTCGTTTGTCACTTCTTCGTTCGCTTTAACGCTCCTCTGGAACTTAATTCTTGAGAACTGTTTTCGATGACGGTGCACGATTGATTTACCTTTGAAACGGATCTTCTGTTGTTCTTCGAGATACGTTGATCTTATACGGACATCCAAGTTAACGGTCGGAGGTTGAGTAGATGATCTTGAGACGCAGGGGAAAGGCTCTCGGAAAGAAAGTCCCTGGGAAATATTAGGATCAATCATCTTGTGGATTGTTGTGGATCTTGTACTCTGTTCCTTGCGTGTATCGGGTAGGCAAAATAAAATACGAAGAATTCGTCCGCGAGACGAGGACGTTAAGCGGACACTGGTTCGGACAGATCCGCGAGTGATCTCTATCTAGCGAATTTCGAAACCGGCCGACCTTTGGTCCGGTCTCTTGTAATTATTCGACCGTGCGTGCCAGTTCTCGCGGAGTTGTTAGTGTCGACGAAATGTGTATCGCGCCGCAGGATTACCTTGTGAACGAGATTCCCCATGACTTCCCGAAGGACCTCCGCTTTCGGCTGCCGCTGTCGGCAGATTTCGGGGCCATATTTACGTGCGGGTCCACGGAACCCCACGCAGCCTTCGTTGCTTCCCCACCTTGATGCCGTCACCCCCTACACACGCTTATTTTCGACGGCACGGGACGTCTCTCGTCAGCCATTCACCCCTTTTCCCGTCTTTGTGTGTTTTCTCTTCGTTTTTAGAGCCGGCGACCGTTTACTCCAGTTTCTTTCGGCACTCGCGCGCTTCCCTCTGTCCTCTTCCTGTACGCCGTTCCTCGAGAAATTAAAAATATCCGACGTATCGCGGGTTCAGTGACATCGGCCGAGTTATCGGTGTTACAATTATCGGACGCTGATCCGTCTAATTTATTCGAAACCTGTGGATTCGTCAGCCGTTCTTAACTCTTGGCCTTCGAGAGACGACTCTCGGTCACCGCTTAGTCGCCAAATTACAAAGTAGAATATCAATATAAATACAGAATATTAATATAACAAAAACATAAATAAATAAAGTAGAATATTAACACGTTGAATGCTATGGGGACCACTGGTGACCCCCAAGCGAATCGAATCACTATAATTCACTCAATTAAACAATGATTATTCGCAAACACTTCTATATTATAAATAATGATACTCATCACGGTGGCATTCAGTTTGATGAACGTGCAATGATCCAATTCAGTCAAATGATTTAATATTGTATTTTTTCCATTTTGTGTATTTTGCTCTATGAAGTCGTGCGGCGTTCAACGCGTTAATATAATATAAATATTTATATTAAACTTTGTATAGTGCATCGCTATGTGGAACATTGAAATAAAATCTTTATCTCATTCGAAAATATTGCATACTTCTAGTGAAAAACTTTTGACTGCAAAGGGTTGAATATTCTACGTTATTTTTCAAAAGAATAACACGGTACAGTCGTATCGCTTTGATCTCATTAGCGAATCTCATCGCTTCGGTGATACGGTACAGTCATATCGGAACAGTTAACTGGGATGACGTACTGGTACGCCAATGACTTGGTCATCACAGATGATCAAACACAGACTATTGTTCCATTCAACAGAAGCATTTTATTTCGTTGAACTCTATGCCATACGAATGATTATACGAGTTCGCAAGAATTATTTCATTGTTTGCTGTCCGTATCAGCTATTCAATATTAAACCGATGAAGCTTCCATTGATGCGAGGAATGCTCGTATTTATTACTTTCGATTGAAAGTCCGAACCACGTGTCCGATCCAACGTTACGTGATAAGGGACTCACCGACATATTTTTTGCAAAGGCTCGGCAAGGACTCGAGATCAATTAATATGCAAAACGAACGCCGATCGCGTGTTTAGACAGTTTACTATGCCTAGTGGCCGAGCCAAGGCTGCACGCGACCGCTGCAATTGCGAATGCGTCGACGCTGCGACAGCAAAAGGAGATCCCGGTGTGGACGCAACAAATTAGTCGACGCGTCGGGTCTGCCGGGGAACGAGACAATTAAACGCATATCGGCGCGTTCATACAGATGGAATGACAGTCAAGCTTCTCGGGTTACGGCTAATTACCGCTCGCCCCGTTCTCTACCAGCTGGAATAAATGTCGATCGGAGTGGCCCAGACACGTAACGATTTATCGCGTGGCGCGTTGTGCAATTTTATTTCATGCCGAATGTTCGGCCGATAATCGTTTTAACGAATTAGTGTTCTCTATTGTAGAACGAAATGAATTTTTCGGTGTAACTTGGAGAATTATTTGCATCTTTTAACCCTTTGCCTTACGATACTGCGCCAGAATCGTGGTGAAGATTTTAAACAATTTAACAAGCATAATTACTAAATTTTTACGAATTCAAATTAAGTATTATTCTTTTGTTATCAATTATTACACCAGAGCAAACATAGACTGCATAGAAATTTTCTCTTTTGGTCAATAAATTAACGACAAAGTAATTGTATCATAGTAGAGAAATAAATTACAGAGCAACAGGTTAAGATAAAAATTCTAAGAAATTTGCGTCATTTATCCTCAAGGCTTGCAGTCTGATTAACACTCAACGAAGAAACGTTATCAATGAATGAAAATTCAAGTAGCAACACACATTGGTTTCCATTGTACAGATAAGAAGTTTTATCAGCAATCGGAAACTGACCGACTCTGCTCTTTATCAGACTGTTAGGCATTCCGCTATCCGGTGGTTAACCCTAAAAAGTCTAAACCCCGAAGACAAACCAATCTTCCACGCATAACCATTTACTTCTGATATCTATTTACAAAAAAATAACGCCTTTTTAACATAAAAATCTGCGGTATCAAATTCTTTCCTAAATTATTCTAGAGAGAGTCGAGGTATTTTGTCACGGTGGGCTAAAGAAGTCTCTCCCCGTCTAACCTCACATTAAGCCTCCCAAAAAAGTCAACCCTAAAAAGTCTAAACCCGAGAACACACCAATCTTCCATGCATAACCATTTATTATATACAAAAAAAAATAATGCGTATGTAACCTAAAAATCTGCGGTATCAAATTCTTTCCTAAATTATTCTAGAGAGAGTCGAGGTATTTTGTAACCGGTGGGCTAAAGGAGTCTCTCCCCACCTAACCTCCCATTTTAGCCTTCCAAAGGTTAACGAGCGCGAAGCAGGGAACTTCGACCGCGGACTCGCGAGGAATCGATCGAAGGAGGTGCAGAAGAAAGGTTATGAAATGTAGGCCAGAAGTGGTTTAACCCTTTGCGGGCGAACGCCGACATTCCGGCGACATGAAATTTTCACGTTTCTAGCACTTAGTCGTAAATGATCTAATTACTAAAACAGCAAGAGATCAACACGTAGTTTTTCCTATTATTTAAGCAACCGATGTACCATTTAGCTCCATCCGCTGAAGGTTTTATATATTCCAGAGAATCCTCGTCCGCGAAGGGTTAAACGGTGGACAGAATTCCCGCGCGGCGGGACAGGTTGATCGGCGCCGACACGGCGACTTGAAATTATAAGGACAGAGCCGCGGGACCGTGACGTGTACACGGTGCGCTTTTACTTGCTAATCCACGGTGTAAAGCGAACGCGTACACGGCTGAGCACACCGTTCGCGAATCGTGGTGGGCATTCGAGCAATCGGTGGCAGCAATTCCCCTCGAAACCCGAGGAGCCGCGAGCTCCTTATTCGGCGCGTTCTTGACATCGTCGCGGAGAGACCGCAAGCAAGCAACACACACACCATTGGCATGAGTCATTCCCATCTGGTTGCGCGATGACACAGACAAAGGAAAAGAGAGAGAGAGAGAATGACACCTCTCGAAGGGGTGTGTCTCTCTCTCTCTCTCTCTCCACCTTGATACATACAGATGATTCGATTAAAAACAGCTGTGTCCCGAGCGGAAGCGCGATCCCTCATTGAAATAGAAATCCGCGAAGAATTCGTACCGTCTAGAATGGACATCTCTGAACTGTATGTGTACCAAGGGGTCACGAATCACCAGTGAACTGGGATCGATCCTCCTTGGTCACTAGCCTCTGGGTGAGGACACTTCCGGTAGACAAGGAACAAGCTAGAAAGCCGAATCGAGATACAGTTAGCGAAATTCGTAGGCCCATTACTTACGGCCCTGCGACTTGACTGTACTCCGTGACAGAATTTCGTCGATTCTCGCCTAGAAGAATGTCTAGCTTCCGAGTGTACTCTAAAGTGGCCAACGCAGACGCGATACCCGTCCGATTGAGACTGATTTCGGGTCCTATGGACCTCCGAGTCGGATGGAACGAAAGCTGCGTATGGACGTTGAATCGCATTTCGGTCGTTCGCAATCGATAGCGTCGGACGTTCGAAGGAATCGAACGGAACGCGACTAGCTCTCGCAAGATAGCTCGTCTGCGCCGCGACGAATTTTTGCCGGAGAAGACAGCCCACTCACCGAACCTGACGATCTCGACCAGGAGGATTACATCTCTCCTCTCGAAATTCTAATATTAGCGCAGAGCATTCTCCAGTCGATACTCTAGACATCCACCACTACCACTGGCTGGCGGGCGCGCGAGCGGGCACCGAACGTGGTGCACGTACACGGTTGTGCGCGGATGTGTGCACGCGACCCGCGATACAATACACTTGGCGAAACGCTGCAGCAGCGTCACGGCTCACCTTTCCACAGGACGATTTCGCGGTCTAACGTGGTGTAACAGGCTTCTCTATCGAAAAGAAAAACCGCCGGCCACGGGAGAGTCATCGCCACCGTACTGCCACGATGATACGCGTACCGATATAATACACTTCTCCTCTACCTCCTTTAATACCGCTGTTCGAACGTCGGACCGCGCACACGCCGCACGGGCATTACGCTACAAAGATCACCAACTATGGAAGAAGCGCGGTGGGACGCAGATTCGAGGCACGCGAAGCCTATCTACGAACGGAGTGGCGCTATCTGGAGTGACACGTGGACACCCTTTAATCAAGTCCTCCGATGACACGACCGGTAAATTGATTTACGATCGATCGATACGGAAGATCGGCGGTCTTAACCTTTCCACCGATTATCGACCCCTTCGCCGGGCGAGGACGGATCGGTCTCGCTTCGGGTACTCTTTTAGATCCGAGGTAACGAGCGGTCTACGGATTCTACATATTCATCGCAGTTATCTACTGAGACTTTATCAGAATAAGTATAATGGGAATCGTTGGTAGAAGGATTTTTATTCAATCCCGATTTCCCCGTATTAATATAATTTTCAATTTGCGAACATTTGTATCCATAGTTTGGTAATGAAATGCTTAGAGAATGCAGGAAACGTAACAGCGTTACTATCTTGAGCTATCTGGATAATTAGCGCGCTGGTGCAGTCTGTACGCTTTATAGACAATTCTATTAATTTTTGCGATATGCATCTGACGCAACAAGAATTCTGAATATTCTCTATTCCGTTCTTGATAATCAACACTTTCTCCCGAACGGAGGTAGCTGAACGTTAAACGTAATTCGAGAGCGAACGAACTTTCAGTGCGCCAGATTAGATTAATTCGATAAGAGACAACACAAAACGCTTCAAATTTAATAACATTTCTTCTTCAGTTTAGCGGATAATGGCGGAGAACTGTTGCGAATGTTTTCTCCGCTGCAGTCAACGATCCGTTTGAATTGATAAAGTAGATCTAATTAGTCTGGGCTATGTACTAATTTCGTTACACTTTCACTGCAGCTAAAGAAAAAAAAAAAGGTTAACCTGTACGTCGTATCTGAAAAGAAAAATCGACAGCGCGAAGCTGACTCGTTTCTCAATCGGTGTGTACGCTTCGTCACTTCCGTGAACGCGAACGGGAATGCAACGACTTTTTCACGGCGCGAGTAGAACCGGTTCAAGGGGTAAACCAGTTTTTGCTTGGCGCGCGCGAAAAATGTGAACATTTTTTCGCAAACATGTCGCAAGAGGTCTACGGCCCCGTGTTAATACGTTCGGTAACTGTACTTCTCTAAATTAATCATTCGCCGTGCGTGACAAGTATCACGATATCATTAAATATAAAGATAATATATGTACAGTTACGCGAGGCGACACATACAAAGCATTAAGAACCATTTCCACGAAAACTGTCAAGGGTGGGGGACAATGAAGTATCGTACGTCATATAAGGGTCCAATGGGCCTTAACCTATCAACAGTAAAAGACGAGTCGACTCGTTGTTATCTTTTCATTCTCTCGTTGATCTAACTAATAATTCTTTCATTTCATTACACTATAGCTCTGCATTGTCGTAAACTACGTTGCTCTTGTTTTGAATCACGTTCTTCGTAACGTTGAAAAAAAAAATATTTTGAACGCTCTCTCTTCGTGTACTTCGCACAAGCCACACGGCGGACGCATGGTTATCGCTGCTCATTCAACGCAAATTCATTCCGTGAATTCTTCGCGAGCATGCGTTCTTTTTTGGCCGTCAAATAAATGCTGCCGCGCGAGAGACGAAACTTATTTTCGTTTCAAGGTGCTCCTGGAGATTCAGAGTTTATTTATAGGGATTCTCCGGCTGTTGGCGAGTGTTGGCAATAAAGGCAGGCGGAAAGGGCGGGACGAAGAGAAAACAACCGAAAAAAGGACGAGAACGTCGAACCTCTGCGAGTGTCTAGGTATTCGAGGTCATGTGTACATAAAACCGAAAGATCGAATAGATGAGGAACGAAGAGTACGAGTACCTTGAAATGAGACGACTGCATCGGAGGCGAATTGTGAAGGGATGCGGTGATTTCGCGAAGCACCACCCTGGTTCCTTCACGAACCGAACTGATGCTCCTCGGACTTGACATCCTGGCAATATCGCACGAATATTTGTTAAACAGTCCTTGTTGGGTTCATTAAATGCATTCGCCGTTACACTATTGACAGACGTGGGTTCACCGAAAATCACTTTGAATTGCGACGCGTTTCGTATCCAAATCGAGAAACACTTGAAACGATCAGCGTCAGCATTCACGTTCACTCTTCACGATGTTGGAAACAAAGGGGCTTCCTCTGGTCACGAATTCCCGCCAAACTTTAGAATCACCTTTGGTCGATTTTAACGGCAGTTGTCTCGATGCGATATCAGAGCGTGAGAACAGCTTAAATTCGGGAAACGAAACGCAAAAATTAGTCGAAGTCGCCAGCGTTACGATGTTAAACTCCCAACCGCTTTCTTAACGGCTGTCCGCCGTTTGACAACTTGAATGCGAACGGGACGACCAATCGCAACGCACCTCGCAGTGTTTGGGTGAATCTCCACGGCGCTACTGTGCCGTTTTCGCGGCTGATGATATCGATACGATGTATCGATCATTTGTTGCGCGGTACGCGATTCTTGACTTCGAAATTCCGTAACGATATCGTGGTAAATCGCATGTTTTTTCTCCGTTTGGTGTATCGATTGGAGTATCGCGTGATCGGTAGCAGGAAAAGTTTTCTATTTAAATGTGAGATTTACAAATGTTTATTGTCAAATTTTTTTCATACAAATGTGAATAAACCGCCGCGTCACTACATACAAGGCAGTGTAAATCGATCACGAAGTTTCTTATTTAATAATTAGTAGTCTTATCCTTCGCTCATACCAGTCATTCATCCCCTCGCACCTTCGTCGCTGCTTTCTTTTTTTTTGTTTACTTATTATTAGTACCTCACAATGTACATATACATAAAAATACATTCACCCGGCTCAGTAACGCATCATTATAACAAGTTGCGTTAAAATAAAGCGAATTATATAAAAGAATACTATTCACAATGCTCTCATTTATCTTGAAACTAGGTAAAACGGTTACTTTAAGGACACTTTTGCAAACGCTAATTCAAATTTCTGGCAGTAGTGATAGTTGAATCACCTTGATGTATTAACGTAATGCATTTCGTTTCACTGCAGGGATATAATCACAGAAATTAGCCATTGGCTTCTATGTAAGTTTATGTTCCTTCACATAAGGCACTTTTCGTATTTAAACGTCTATAATAAAATAAGTAGCATTAAATTAACTCTGTACCATTTCTGAACACTATAGAAAATGGTTAACACCTTGTACTGTAAATCTTACTATAACAAATAAAAGTCCCATTGCACGAAACAACGGACTTAAACGGGAAGCACCGTATTATTTACGACAATGAACAGCGTATACTGTTATCACCGTGCACTAATGCAATCCCATGGTTTAGTAGCACATGTGCATGTTTACACATTGGCAGTATTATTCGAAGCAATGAAATGATACTTCCTAAAAGACATATACACTACAGTGCCTAGTAAAAATCATTCACCAACAGTTAGTAAATGAAACACTTCATCGTTCACGCATGAAGTGTGCATGTGTTTAATTATGTATACGGATGCAATTGCGGTGGGGGACGCGACGGCGTTGTAGAATTCTTCTGACTACTAGATGGTGGAGTTAAGAGGCCACTTTCATTTGGGCTTTGTCTTCCAGATTCGGTATTCGAATCAGATTCATTTGTATCAGTGCATGGTATCTCATCAGCTAATCGTTGTTGTGCCCTTTCTAGCATATTTAAGTCCACTACGTGTGTTTGGATACGGTGTGATTCATCCATCACTATATTGGGCACTGTTGCCCTGAGTCCAGATCCAGAGTTAGATTCCACAGGTGGTACTGCTGACCTTAAAAGGAACTGTGAACCCTCTTCTGCTGTTGTTATTGCAAATGGATTAAGCCATTTGACACAGGGTGCAAGTTGCTCCCATGGAATACTTGACACCCTTAGGGCACATTCCCTTCCTTGCGTATGATAGATGGCTGCTGCTGCTATATGACTATATGGAAACTTCAAACTTCCTTCATCCAAAGTAGCTAGATCTAACAGTTGAGCAGCTTGAGAGTACTGTAGACCTCCATATTGAGGATAGATAAAAGCACTTGGTCTTGACCAATCACCCGATTCAATTTGCATATAAATATTAAGCCAACCAGGTGCTGTCACAGGGGATAAGTTCCATCCAAGACCTTTCAGTATTATCAATTCTTTTCCTAAGATTTCTTCTTCTGTACAAGCCCCGTCTGTGACATATGCAAACTCTGCTATTTTGGGTGGATATATTTCTTCGACCTGCAATAAAATAATAAATTCTGTTAACCCGATTACTCAATAAAAAATAATCAAATAAAAGAAGAAAAAAATATAAACCTTGGCAGCTATGAAAAGACATGTGATGCCTATTAATTGCAATTGATTTTTAGGGACATTTTGATGAATGGACAAATATCTGTCTATATAATCCATTGCGAGGTAATAAGTTTCCCTATGTAGCTTGTACACTTCACAGACTTCGATTAACCAATCCAATAAAATTGCTCTCATACGTGGCTGTAATGTTGGATGCCTTTGGAACATTTGTGGGTTCCTTTGGATAACAGTCTTCTGATCACCTGAACACATGTGAGACCACACTTGAGAGCCATCAGCCCAAGGAAACGAAGGTAAAGGACTAGGTCTGTTTGTGACATTGTTAGATGACGATGGTGTCAAGAAACAAGTTGCATTTCGCAGGTCAGACCATGTGGCTGGCTCTTGTTGCTCTTTCAGTGGAGACACTTGATGAGGTGTACATGTATTTTCCAATGAATGAACTGAATGACATGATTCTGTACATGATACATTTGATAATGCTGGTATTTTACTAGGTGGGTATACATTCTCCGAGTCCTCAGAGATTTCAGTTGTACGCCTTTTACGTTTTAAAGATTGTATTACCACTTTGCCACCTTGCAAATAAGTCTGTGATTTCTTTTCCTGCAAACTAAACAGACCAAAAGGATCATTTTTTAAATGTTATTCCTCATAATCTATAATTATATATTTGCAGTTAAAAAAACGAAGTGTAACATTAAAATAGAATCGATCAAAACATTTCTAGATTCCAACTAAAAAAGGAACGTTATAGCATGTCTAATACGTCTTTTGACCTTGTACGTATCATATGCATACTTTCTATACTGCTTTGTACACTCGTCAACAGGTCAGAAAGTAATAAATAGAAAATGTCGCTCGTATTATTTACCAGATATTGGTAAAACGTTCAAGAAGCGAGTGTCCAATGAAAAAGGTTATACACGTATATTTAAACATTTTTTTTTCACTTACAAACCGTGCTAAATTGTTTAAATCAAGTGAAACATATTCTTAAAAATCTGGAAGTGTCCCCGACAAAATATCCACAGAATAGAATGAAATTTTCAAGACCAAATGGAAAGACTTTTGCTCACCTCGTCTGTGGCATCTTGTTGCAGAATTGTCGACGTGTTCAAGAAATATTTCCAACGGGAATGGGCTTTTTTAATTCGCACAGGGGCTGGTCGATACCTCGATAGAACCTCCGCTTGGTTTTCGCAGCGTACGCCCGTGAATTTCCCCAAGAAAATCGACGAAAAGTGAAAGAGCGCGCGAAGCTTACACGCACCCGATCGCCATAATGCACGTATACTCGGCTACGTTTGATTCGATATTTTATATTATAACTTCTTATTACTGGTCGGTTGCGTAGCACGAAAATTTCTTGGAGTCTTTTTCGATATTATTTCCAGCCTCGAAATATCACAGAACGGTGAATCTTGGGAAAAATAAGGGACGTGGAAGTCGAAGCGCGGGAGACCAGCGCGCGAAACGATGACCAACCCCTGCTTGCAATCTGCCACTGTCACGCCCTCTATATATATACCATAACCTCAAATAGCCAAAAATGTTACAAATTTCGATGAAGTAGTCCCCTGAAGGTCCAACTATTTCATTCCGGTACGGAAACACCGGTGCATTTACGTATATCCAGTGAATTTAAGGGTTGCGGAAACACGGTGCAACGCTGGCGTCGTTGGACAGACGCCTGCGTATCGCGGGGCTTTTCTCCAGTAAAATATCACGGATGCCCGAGTAAACTGATATGCATTATCCAGGAGAAGCGTGTTTTGCCACGGCGATATGATACATTCGTATTAAAACGTGAAATGTCGTGCATAAACGATACATAGATCCGAGGAGTCGCTGCACCCACGCGTACTGCGCATCTGTATTTCCCGCTCGATTATACCACAACTTTTATGAGAAATCTACGAAAATATCGTCGCACTGGAACACACTGTGCACTGCTCACTCGGTCCCGTTACTCTGTTCCGTCGATAGAGGTGTGTGGGCACAGAATAATGTTTTTAATTCGCGAACTCGCGTTTACGAATGAGTTTCGCGGGAACGCCAAACCAGTGGGCACCGGCCGTATATCCGTGGCGCTGCTGTGTAATCGACGCGTGTTTCCTATTGGCCGTTACGGGGAGCACAGCTGGCGCTCAGCTGATTCTCAGGCAACGCACACAAGCTCGGGTCCAATGCACGCATGCACTTATGCCTGGACCACGCGGGAAATGTGCGCGCGTAAATTGTTAGGCGCGACCGTAAGCCATAGGAAGTAAAAGATCATCCTTGCCACGTATCGTGACTACCCTGTGTCTTGCAAATTACAGACTTTCGCGTTTTCTGAAGTATACGAAACGAATCCGACGAACAACGCTTTAGTTGAATAATTCAGACGAATAATTTCGAAAACACTTTAAAAGCGTCGTAATTCGAGAACAGTTTATTCCCGTCTTTAAAAAGGTAAACTTAAAAAGTACATTTGAAATAGATTGGGGAACAGTATTCTTTTCTTATTTTTTAATAAGCTACTTTGCAAAGATGGCTAAATTGTTAAGCAAACGTATAATTTATCATGGAACATATGAAATAGACGGTTTGTTGATGATCATATTAAATTAAGGCACTCGAAATTTCGACTGCGGGAGTATAATGAGGTCAAAGTGTGTTTCATTGTTTATGCTACGATACTATCAAATAATTATTATTACCAATTGCAGAATGATAAATAGGAGTAATATTGTTTACGCGCCCTTTTTTATTAATAAATTATTCCGTTAACTGGATACAGTTTCAAGAATGTTCATAATATTTTATTCACTCTTGCGGCTTTAAGAGAAATTCTAATGTCTAAATTGATCAGGTACATTTCTATGTAAATGATTATATTTTTTAGTTTCAACAAATTTGGAAAAGTACGAAATGTTTACAATACATGTTTAATGCTTTAATTTACAGGGTAATGAAGGGTAAGGCTTTTTGCCACGGATGGCACTACTAGATACATCCAAGTGAAGTCACGTGTCGGTATTGTTTGTTTATCAATCTAAGCGTTTCACCGCGGATGGCGTTACTGGTTTTCTGGTTGCATTCACCTGTCGGTATCGTTTTTCTACTAGTTTAAGTGTTTTGTTATGAATGGCAGCACCAGTCAAGGCGAGTTACTTTTTAAGAACAAGTAATTCTTGCCATTGTTTATCCTGTATCGAACCGTTGCAGCGGCAAGATTTATTTCCAACTATACTTACCATGGATCGAACGCGGATGATTTCTCAGTGATTAATATTATTTTCTTTATGCGGTACGTCAGTATTTCTGCACGACATTAATTCATGCTGCTTTAATTTTGAATTTTAGTTTTTACAAAGTAAGAGTTCTGTAAAAGAGTACTAAACAATTGAGTTTTCTGAAACCCCTAGAATCCCCATCAATAGTCGGATACATTTTATGAAATTACATTTATTTGCAATTACTGCGTTTTAATTTACGTTCCTTAATCTTTATTTATAATCCTCGGTTTAGAAGTTAACATAACTTTTGAATTTATAGAACTATTGTTGTAATTATATACATATTTTACTATATATTTTCGTAAGACAAAAAAATACATTTCATATTAAGTCTAATTATATCCTCTTCTGTGATTAATTACTTTCTACATTACATAATGCATTAAATATTATGACATAACAGAATTATCTCTTTAATTGATTAATCTCGACTTATCGATGTCAATTCAACATCTGTCATGACTGTATTGCAATTTACATTGTCTCTTAAAATGAAATGTAGATAACTGAGTAGTTTCTAAAATAATTCAATTTCTTTGAGGATAGGAGGAAAGAAGAAAATCAGAGGCTATAATAGTTAAGATACAGGCTCCGCGTAGAAGGAATCCGACACTGTTTGCGGTAGAAATCGTTCACGATCAGTTGGCAAGCCTCGATGATAATTATCGGCTGTGACATAGAACGGGGTGCTGGAGGAACCAAGACAGCCCTGGTTTTCTGGAAATCGTCAGCGGTCCGGGGCCATTAAACGCATTATATGTATCTTGCAATTTGATCCTGCAGCGCTCGGTTCGCCGATCGGAGAGTAATTTACGCGAATTCCTGGGTATCCGGGTCTCTGCAGGTGGGCCTCCTGGGTTTCTTCTCGCGTCTGATGCCTTCGGTGTCGCAGCAATTGCTGCACCATTTCGTTGCTAGCACGGCATTCGGGGCCTGTTGGACCGAACACCTGAGAAAGACAGTTCTCGTTAACATTGTCACGTTGATTTTAGCTACGTACGTAAGAACCGTCGCAGCACTTTGTTTATGTCTCTCTCTTAAAAGGTATTCCATAGATAATCTTCATTTTGATTACAACACTGAGAAAAAAACTCTACTTGTACACTGTCAATCAGTGTTCGTTTTTTTAGAACTAAGACTTTATTTACTTAGTTTGTGATTTATGTATATCATCGAGTACATTAAATCATAATGACTCGTATATTAATTATATCCTTTATCCCAATTGTACTCATAGGACGTAAATGTACGTGAGCTTGTGAAAGGTAATGCAGGGCATAATGCCGGTTAAAACAAAATCCCGTGTTCCTGAAAATATGGGTATAACAGGAGGACTGGTAGATGCTAGGGACAAACAAGTATTAAAGGAAGCTGTGGATGCTGTTGTTAATAGTTTTGCGAAACACACACAAGGCTATGGAAGAGGTATGTTGCAAATTGTTTAACTTAACTTATATTTATACGAGCTAAACATTTTGCTCATTCTTACAGTGAACGTGGTAGAAGCTCTGCAAGAGTTTTGGCAAATGAAACAGAGCAGAGGAACAGAACTGAGAAACGGAGCTTTAGTCATATACGAATCTGTACCTGGTACCAGTCCACCTTACGTTTGTTATGTAACTCTTCCAGGAGGATCTTGTTTTGGTAGTTTCCAGAATTGTCCAACCAAGGCAGAGGCTCGCAGATCAGCAGCAAAAATTGCTTTAATGAACTCTGTTTTCAATGAACACCCAGCAAGAAAGATAACAGATGATTTTATAGAAAAAGCTGTTGCAGAAGCAAGAGCCAGCTTTGCCAAACCCTCTGCAACGTCCAATGGAGTTGGTAATCAAGCGCAAGTATGTTGTCCGTTCATTAAAATGTGCAAACTGCTGTTAGCTGTGTATTTATATTACTCTTATTTGCAGGGAAGTGGAGATGAAAAAGAGGATCCAAACACAGGAATTGGCGCATTTCGTTTTATGTTAGAATGCAATCGTGGAAGAACAATGTTAGAATTTCAAGAATTAATGACAGTCTTTCAATTACTTCATTGGAATGGATCATTGAAGGCTATGAGGGAAAGACAATGTAGCAGACAAGAAGTGGTTGCTCATTATAGTCACCGAGCCTTGGACGATGATATGCGTAGTCAAATGGCATTAGATTGGGTAGCGAGGGAGCATGAAAGTGGCGGTGGCGTTGTCGCCATGGAATTGGCACTAGCTGAGAGAGAACTCGAAGCGGCGCGTTTAGCTGGAAGGGAGCTTAGATTTCCTAAAGAGAAAAAAGACATATTGATGCTTGCACATGCTCAGGTGTGCCCTCAGTAATTTTAAATCACGAATCGTGCGATTCAAAAACATATAAGAAACTAGTTTTTCGAAAGCTGGTATTAGGGAAATACATGTTTTTTTTTTACTGACATACAATGTCGTTATACTGTGAAATGCTTTATCGTTGTCTAGCATCGAGACACGTAAACAATTCCGTCCTTTTTATGAAGTATTTTTTGGTGATAATAGACTGTTATTGGGATAATAAAACACGACTAAGTACTGTTAAGAATACTTTAAGCGAATAACTGCCAATCATTAAATCAAAATTATTCATAATTTGTACATACATACGTTTTGATACAAATTCTTGTCTTCCATTACTACTGTATGCAGTCTTTCTCATATTAATAGCATTACATATAAACGCTTGGTGATATATTGTGCTTGCCAGAGAAATACTATCAAAGTGATTTGAGTAGTTTGTTATAAAAACTCATATGTTTGTTGCATACAAAGTCACCATTCCATATTTTATATGTGCATAATGTTCATGAAACGTGGGCGTAATGACTGTACTGTAGTGCAGTTATATATACGATATAGATTGTAATTGTTTTAAAAATATTTTATTGCTATCTTTAAATATTGATAAATATATGTTTTAATAAAATTTCGTAATTTTAATTAAGACTTGTTTCTCAGTCCTAGCACTAAGATTGTGTAGTAACTTCAAGAGTAGTATCTTCTGATTTTGTCTCTTGGACTTCTTCTTCTTCTTGCATAGGATGCGCTAAAATTTTATCAATTATCCCAAATTCCTTTGCTTGTGCTGGACTCATGAAATTGTCTCTTTCCATAGAACGTTCTACAAATAAGCATATATTCAGTAAATCTATTTTACAAGAATTTCATGTCTTCAAGTACCTATCTTCTCCAATTCCATCCCTGTATGTTTTACATATAAGTTGTTTATTTGCTTCTTAAGTTTCAAAATTTCTACAGCCTGTATCTGTATGTCTGTAGCTTGACCAGATACTCCTCCTGAAGGTTGATGCGTCATAATTCTTGCATTAGGTAATGAATGACGCATGCCTTTTGCTCCTGCAGCCAATAATAAACTTGCCATGGAACAGGCCTGTCCTACACACCATGTTGAAACAGGAGGAAGAACATATTGCATGGTATCATATATACCAAGACCTGCCGTTACACTGCCTCCAGGTGAATTAATGTACATATGGATTGGGTTTTTACTACTTTCTGATTGTAGAAATAATAGTTGAGCTATTACTACAGAAGATACACTATCTGTGATCTATAAAACAATATAGTACTTTATTTATATGTTCAAATTTTCAGATTATATAATATTCTAAACAACATAAATATAATAAAAGGTCTTATTGAAAGATGTACCGGTCCCATTAGACATATAATCCGCTCTTTTAAAAGACGTGAATAGATATCATATGCTCGTTCACCTCTTCCACTTTGTTCTACTACAACAGGTACAAAATTTAAGTACCGATGACTGATCTTTTGAGTAGAAACCTGAAATAAAACCCCAAAATATTTTGCATAAATATAAATAAGAAACATTAATGAATAAGTTATTTACATAGTTATAAGAAATAATGTATGAAATAATGTAAATATATATTATGTTTTTTTACGTATACTCACGGGAATTTGTAATAAATTGTTTATCCTTCGTAATAACATTTTGACCGTTTACAAATTACATAAACCACGTATAAATTCACTACGATACAATACGATGTTTAACATAACAAATTAATTAATAAATGTATCGAGAATATCTTGTAGAGGAAACAAGAAATACAATATAACCTAAACAAAAAGAATTAATTATCACACTGTTGATCAAATGATATCAACAAAAACACATTTCAGTGATTGGTATAATTAAAATGATTATTAAATTAAAAAGTAGAGAACAATTCCTTTTATTTAATATGTTATTTTATAGGTTAATTGTTCGTGTCATTCATTTTTTTATGTATTTTTGAATTATTTAATGTCAATTTATTTTTTATATAATAAAACTTACTATTTGCATAAATTGAAGTATTCAACTGAAAAAATCTTTCTCAAAGATTTAGTAAAACCAACTTGTTTCAAGCGCAACATAAATAGAACTGTTATTTATGCAACACATTACATTTATTTAAGTAGGTGAATTAGTTTGATACTAACTTGTTCATTTTAAAATACTCAATATTACAATAAGACACTTCAAAAAATGACTTCTTGTGCATCTACAAAATAGTACATGTGGTCAAGGCTTTAATGTTCCGTGGTTCTGGACGCATTTTGATTGATTGTAGATTTAATTAAAAAGTAATAGAGTTTATCACGTTGTATTATCCACATTTTATTCAATAAATACATTTTCGTAAATTCAAGTGTTGTCAACGATTATTGGTAAGTTACATTATTTTTATACCACTTAAATTAAAATAACCTTATATTTTTGTAATTTCAGTATCTTGCGTGTGTTGATATTGATAATGAAATTGTTGGTTCTATAATATTTTTCATAACTATGTATGAATTTGTTTATAGGTAAAATGAGTGGATTTTCAATGTTTAAAACAATATGTCAAGGTATACGTTTTATTGCACCAAAGATATTTTCAGTGGAATCAACAGCTATTGCAGCTCGTACAATGTATCATATGAGTACTAAACAATCAGTAAATAATCTGCCAAATGTATTTAATAACAAAATTGCTTCTGGAAATCTGCTTCAGACAATTGTACCCATGTATAATGTTGTCTGTGGCTTGAAGATGAAAACGATTTTACATAGAAGATGCAGAAAATGTTTGTTTAAATGGATAAATGGTAGATTATATGTAAAATGTAAAGCACATCCAAGACACAATCAAGTGCAGAGACAAAAGAAGCCTAAGAATACTTGGATATTAACATTTGCTTCACAGAAACCAATACGTGATTGGTAATGTAATATCTTTTACAGATATTAATTGTATTATACAACAAAATAAAATTATTATAAGATTAATCTTGTATTAAATTTTCTATAGTCTAGTAAAATATTTCTAGATATGCAAGTATTTATAGTCTTTATTTATTATATTACATCATGACATTACAATTTTTAATTAAATTATGTTAATGTCGCAGAGGAACGAACAATGCTTGAATAACAAAGTTTAACATCTGTAAGTGCTAGATGCTGTAAATGGAACAAATTCAATTTTTTTTTAGTTGCAGACATATACATATGTTCTGAGCATATATAGTGTAGGCAAAATATTATAAATATCTTACTATATGGAGGACTTGTGTAAGCAGAACGAACATTACGTAATGTTGTAAGTGGCTGATATTTATCATAGTATAACATATAAGACAAGCTACCACTGTAAGGAGCACGAGGAAAATTAGAGAGAACTGCATAAGGGGCACATATTGCAGGAAAACAAACCTAGAAATGTTACTGAGTAGACTATATTGTAAAGCTTTCTTAGAAATTTAGGCAAAACTTCTTACATTTTGATTATCGTTACATACCGTGCAAGATCTAGTAGGAACATTTACAAAAATTGTTGGATCAGTTATCGGTGGTTGACAATTGGGTGAACAATTAGGGGAATATGAATTATATGGTTTAATTCTAATCAACATAACGAAAGATTAATACCCGGCGTTTCATTCCCATTTTACTCATAACAAAATAAAAAAGCAGTTTACTTACGACATGTTTGTAATGTATATGTATATGTTCCCTGCATTAGGATTTTGATTTCTAATTATTTTATAGAATAATTCACCCGGAATCTAAAAAATTTGACGATCGACTCACGGGCATATCGTTTGTTACACCATTGCATTAAAATCACAATTGATTACAAAAACAATGCAAAATTCTGATTAATTTCAGAGGGAATTTCGAAAAGTTGCAAACATATGTTTAAATGTTTCAGGGATATATAAATTTAATCGGTTGCAATTATTTTAGCATTCTATTTTTATATATTCATAATTGTATACAAAAAATTAGTCAGGGTGATTTGGTAAGGGAAATGTAAAGATGACCATGTTGGATTCATTTGCGTTGATCTCAGGCCACTCAAGATTCAATTTACCCTCAAAAATTTCCTTCCATCTGTCTTCTTCCACGGTAGATATGCCTACGGACCAAACCTGCAAATGTACAATTATTACTGTACTTTCTGAACAATTACTACACTGTACGAAGGAGAAACTAATGAATAAATCATGAAAGAGAACCTTCTCGAAATAGAGTACCCATGTATAGGCCATTTGATTGTCCGCCTTAAAACATATTCTTTTTAATCGTTTCAGCAACTTCATTGCTGCACCTTTCCGAAACTTTATCATGCAATAATAAGCGCTCAGTAACATGTATCTGTAATAATGCAAAATCATTTTATAAGTCATTGTTTCTTTTTATTATATCATTACAAGAATCGATATCCTCACCTAGGAATTGCAATTTTAACGATCTTAGTCATCTTCTTCATCTTCTTGAACACACTTTTTATCTCCGACCGAGTACTCGCTGCGTCAATGTTCCTGCTGTTTAATTTGTGCACTGAAAATATGAAAGTACAATGTTTAAACATTCATATTAAAATTACAAACGAACGGTTTAACCCAAAGTATAAGCACCGTATAGGATAAGTAGACCCTCGAGCTTTTTCAAACAAGTAATGGTTGCAGCTACTATATGTTCGTCCATTATGGGTATATCGTTCACGCTTTTCCTCTCCCAAATTTTCGAAGCCTCCCATTGTTGAGTTCTTATACACCTAGAAAGAAATATTGTTGTAATTGCATCAGACAAAAAGATCGAAGGGGATGACCCGAATAAACCGTACCACAGCCACATAGAGACGAAGTACCGTCTTTCCGCTTCCGGGTCGTGCAGGCTGATTATCGACTCACCCTCTCGAAGGTAGTACTGTTCGCAGGTTTTGAAAGAAAGAAGCGTGATCCCAGTGTCCAGTTGCAGGTCGGCGCAAAGCGCGTAGTACCAGGTGCGGCCAGATTTGTCCAGATCGTTGTTGGACTCGAACTCTGTCGTTTGCGGAACGTTTCGAACCGAATCGTGGAATCTTCGGAGTGTCTAACCGACATTCATAATTACCCAGTTGCCTTAACATGGCGATCGTTTCCGAGTGCCGACAGGAGATCATAAGTAGGTGAGCCAACCGAGGCATGATAAGCAGCTTCAAGAATCTGGACCCAATCATAGTGGCCATTCTGCAGCAGATGAAGCCGATCTTCACTGCTTTCGCGATCTGTCCGTTTATCCATCTGGAGAAGAATATCCCCGCGTAAAGTTGAGCGACCAGGTTCAGGTCTTGAGGCTCGATAGCGTCCTTGCTCTGTCTGCAGATCTCAAGGGCCCTCTTCTCTAGAGAAGGTACAATAGCCCTGCGGAAATCGCAACAGGCTCTCTGCTTCATAACGTTCAATCTGATTACACCAGGTATCCAGAGTCTGACCTGTCCTGATACATATGCGCCGTAATCAGCAAGTTGGTGTAGGACGTGGTCAACGCGAAGAAGTCCCTGTTGGTTTCCAACGCGCAATTCAAGCCCCAGATTGCTGCCAGCCGCGCGTGTTTCTTCATGCCTTTGATCTAACGGCGCACGCCAACTTTAGGTTACATTCGTTCCAGTATCAAACACGATGCTCGTCTATACGAATCGATTACCCTGAAGAGATCGAACATTTGCGTCAAGCAACTAGCCAACTGCTCGGTGTAATCTGCGATCTGCGTCAAGCTGTCCTCCGTCGTAACGTAGTCGTCGCGAAGTTCGAACTCTCCCGAACAGCCCAGCTTCCACCTCAGTTGGATCAGCTGCGTGATAGTCTTGATGTCGATCAGGAATTCCATTTTCGGGAAGCTGTAGCCCAAACTGTGCAGCGCCGTCACCAGGACTTCCTCGGCCTCGACGAGCGATCCGCTTTCGAGGTAACACTGTCCGAGCAGGGTCTGAATTTTCGAATTGATGTAGGGTAGAAAAATCATTTCGTCCTCCACTGATTGGAACAGCTGCGGACATCGAAGTTTTCAGTTAAAGTAGTCAAGAGATTCTCGCACGTTTGCCACTTTAATTATACCTCAACTAGGATGACCTCGCTTTCAGCCAAGAGTTTCCGAGCTTGCGGTATGTTGAAGGTCATCAGGCAGACCTCTGCGAACTCCAAAACGGCGGTCATCGTCATTTCAGTTTTCCCTGATCAAGGAAGTTCAAGGTTTTACGATTCTTAGGGTCATCAATCGCGGGGAACGTACCGATACCGCGACAGTGGTCCAACATTTGCGTGTACACCGTCATTAATATTAGGTCGCACAGGCAATTACTGAAATCCACGTTGGAAAAAGTAACCGTCGGCCTCCTTTCGATGCGACGAAACAGGTTGACGCAAGAGAGCCATTTCTTGCGATCTGTTGTTCATCGATGACGATCAAAATCGAGAAATGAACGAGTGGGTATGTTTGCCTACTTTTCTCAGGTTCTACAACGTCATGCAGCGTTTCGAACTCCACGCTGTCGAATATGTCCTCGATTACAGTCGGTCTTCTCAATCTGTCTTCTCTTTTCGAGGCTTTCCCCAATAACTTTGCGAACTGGCCCTCCCCGCAAGACAGGCAACGTTTCGTGTATTGCTGTAGATACTTCAGTGCTTGGTTGTGCAGCTCCATTTTCTGGTTCTCCGTGAGCAATCTGAATCACGTATGAGATATTCGTATATAGCTCGTAACAGTGGAGAGAGCGCTACCCACCGATAGGTTGTGTCGCGAAACATCGTCATTTTGAACCTCATCAGACCGCAGGAAGCGTACCTCGGCAGATCCTGCAGCTCCGCTATTGAAATTCGTCTTTTTAATAGTACGTGTCTAAAGTAGACTACGGTTGTTTATAGAAATTCTTATTTTTGCATATAGTTCGATGAAAATTGTGTTGAGAGAATTCACTGATTAGAGGATTTGTTAAATCCGTATTCATGGAGAACACCGTGAATGTGTAAAATTTATGATGCATTGACGAGAAATTCAGAATTTAACGGTCCGTACGCACGTGGAATAGTAAGACCAATGCAGTTGCAGAAAATTCCCGTCTCTGAAGTAGGGTTCCGCATATTCTGGATAAATATTATCGGCCCCGAGTAGCTGGAGAAGTCACCGGTAGCGCACCCGAAGACTCGTATCTCGAATAATTTCGAGACAGCTGAGAGAACGAGAGAATTAGACGAACTGTGAACCAGACAATTTTCCATCGGTTTGTTTAACCCTTTGCACTTGAGAGGCGACTCTCAGTCACCACATGATTCGATACAACAAAGCTATGAAGTTGAATATTTAATATTTCAAATTGAAGTTTGCATTGCTACGTGAAATATTTGAATAAAACACCTCTGTTGCTTAATTTATCTATGAAGTATCGTTAAATTAGTTTCAAACAATATGACCTATATCTCGTCAGAAAATGTTGAATATTTCCATTGAAAAACTTCCGAGTGCAAAGGGTTAATTTCGAACTAATAATTACCGAGTCCTATTTCCCTCTTCGCGGAAAGATTCATCAGGCTTTCTAGCATGTGCCTGTTGACAGTCTCGCCGATGACAGACGCGCATTTCAGAAGGAGTTGATCGAGGGGCGTCAGGGAATCGAAGAGTTTCAAGATCATGACTAAATAGTAAAATATTCCTCGCGTCATTTGTGAATTAACGGTACAGTTAAGTCAACGCTGCGACAAGAAGGTATTTTTACCATCCATCGTGATTTCCGTGTCTACGTCGTCGTATATGAACTTGTTCGAGATCTTGCAAACAGCGATCAAAGTCTCGTCCGTGCTGGAAGTCGTTTGCTCTTTCTGCGAGTCCCTGATATTGATGTCCTCTGTCAGCGACATCATGCTGTCCTAATTTAAGTTTCGGTGGTGAATCGGGTCATCGATTAGAATTGTAGAGTAATGCAGAAAGCACGAACTTTGAAGCTCGATCGGTACATCTGCCATCTGTCCTTGCGTTCTTCGTCCATGGCATCTATGACCTTCTCACTTGTAAATCTGATGGCGAAAATTGAATCGTGTAAGTATGGGAAACCCAGTTATCGCGAAGGTAATGCTGTCGTTCAAGTGTACCTTTTCAACATGCTCACAGGAGGCAACACGTAGCCTTGTTGAGTGGCTTCGTTCTTACTAATGATGATTATTTCCAGCCCACCAGCTTGCAACAGGCTGACTAAGTAGCTTTCGATCCAGCCTGGATTACCGAAACTCTTCTCTTGTATAAGTCTTAAAAAGAAAATTGTTTAGAAGCAAGTGAATCAAAGATAATTTTATCAGATATTAACACAAGAATATTACGGTAGTTAACGAGTTGTTCCTAAAATCCTTTCAAAATTCTTTTCACGCAACTTACTTCTCCAGCTCCGCAGGCAGACCGTTCACGTTCAGCGTTTGACAAGCGAGGCCCGCGTGGAACCATCTGTCTATTCCGTGAAGTTCTATGATCTTTTGATAGGAAACCGAATAAAAGTGGTTTAACACATACGTTATTAACCCTTTTCACTCGAGAGGTGACTCTCAGTCACCGCTTGATTTGATACAGCGAAACTATGAAGTTCAATATTTAGTATTTTAAATTAAACTTTGTATCGCTATAGGAAGTATTTAAATAAAATAGCTTTGTCGCTTAATTTATCTGTGAATTATCGTAAAACTAGTTTCAAACAATGTCGTCTGTCTCGTCGAAAAATGTTAAGTATTTCCAATGAAAAACTTTCGAGTGCAAAGGGTTAACAAATAAATAGTTACTGTAGATCAATTTTAAAACTCGAGTTACCTTCGTTCTACCCAGGACATTAGGATGAATCTGAAATTCGGTTCCAAGCTTCCTGCCAATGCCCAGCACGTAGAAGACCGTGTCTTTCTTCGTGAGGACGTCGAACAGTTGTAGGGACTCCTGGTCGCTGTACTCGGCGTCATCCATGATCATCACCGAGAAATCGGTAAAGCACACCTTCATCAGTTTCAACAGAAACTTCCGCAAGATCTTCCACTTCTCTGGCTCCGTTAAACCGTTGTATCGGCGTGTGATAGGGAAATGAACATTAAACGGCTGATTCAGGGCGCAGAGGAAATAGGACTGGCGCACCTTGCCTAGCCGATGGAGCAACTTATCCTCGCGTTCCTTGCGCGTCGACGAGACAGAAAAAGCAAGGGACATTGAGAATATCTGGTGAATCAGGCTGTACGGGGTCTGCACTGGAAGACACATTGTTTTTTCAATAAACAATACCAGGCGGAACATTATCTTGTTTCAAGTGTTTTTTTCTGAATAACGATGACTTGAGAAACAAGTGTCAACCTTCGCATTATCGGGTCGTAACGAAACGTAGTTGCTGTGCACTCCAACTGGAACGTTCTGCACGAACTCGTCTAGTAATTTTGTCTTCCCTATTCTTGGCTCACCTCTGTGTGCAATTGCAAGTTTCAATGGCCTACTTAGTTAGTTTCCCAAAAATCAATGTTTAACAATGAAGTGTAATAAACGTGTCAGGAGTAAGTACTTCACGATCAGAGTATTGTATTTTGGTCTCAAGCCACGACTCGCTTCGGACTTGGCAGAATAGTCCTGTAGCTTCGACAGCATCTTCTGGAACCTCTCTACTTCAGGTTCTCTACCCAGCAACGGATACTTGTTCCACACCAGATCCGTCACGCTGTATCTGATCAGGAACCGCCGATCGATCTAACGTTTTCCAGGAGATTCATCAAAATCGAACTTACTTAGGTTGCTCCTGAAACTCGTATATCGGTCCCACGTTCGTGATTCCTTTCAAGTACCTCGGTTCCTGCAGGATAAAGTGTCTGGCTTCGAGGTGGGAATGAAGGAAGCTTTCTCTGTCGCAGACCACCTGAAAGCCGCGTTGTCTTTGCAAACTCAACAGTTTCGGAAGGTCTCCGATCTGTTGTACTCTTCGTATGAGATTAACACTAGGTTTACGGGCATTTATTGTACGGTTTATTCTATTGTTCCCGGGGAAGTTGATATTCGTTCATTTAGATGTTGGAAATTGCAGATGTAGAAATATACAATCAGGATTCATATTCGTGTAATTGGATCAACGTAAACCTAGTATTAAGAGAATTTAGCTCACTTTGTCCCGATAAGCGACCATGAGCCTCGCTGCCTTGTTCACTGGCATTCCGATGACAGTGTACTCCCTTCGCAGGATATGACCGACGACTCCGCAGTACGTCATGCCCGTGGTCACGCTGACAGTAACGGATTTCACGTTGTCCAACGCTGTGAGGGTGGTTCGTAACTTGGCTGCGCATTTCAGGCCGATCTGGGACTCCAGCTCGTGCTTATCGCCGCGCAGACCGAACACGCAGAGAAACATCAGGTCCTTGTCGAACAGAGACGTCTTGTTGACGCATCCGTGCATCCCGCCGACGATCCTTCGCCGACGAATCATTATTATCACGCGTTCGTTAGACGCGAAGACGCTGACAGCTACATGCAAACCAGCTTGTAAGCCGAGTTGACTAAGGTGATCAGCGTTCTTTTGCCTACGGATGTCGTCAGAACGTTGATGAACAGGATCACCACTTGTCTCATTTCCGTCAGGTACTCCAGGGGCTCGTCCATCTCCACGGATCGAATCACTGGCCTCAGCATGTAGCTTCTCAAAGCGTCTTTCAAGCGAGCCTTCGCTATCTTCACCACCTTCGGTCTCACTGGAAAACGGTCTCCATATTTGTAACCTCCTCGACGTTCGTTACGTTACTTACGAGTGTAATCGATTTGTCGAAATTTCTCCCCTTCTAAATTGCCACCCAGGCTGACCACCACCGCGTCGGTCTCGGAATCCATCACGGTCCTGGAGACGAACCTTGAATCGTAGTACTCCATGCGGTCGGTGTCTTCCTCTTAATATATAACAAAGAAATAAAGCAAAGGAGAAAACAAAGGAATCTGTTGATTTGAAGCTTTACCCTCGGTGCTGGTGGGATGCTCGTCTTCCCTCGAGTGATACCACGAACTAGTGCAGGCTATGATCAAAGTGTGCACGCCATCCGGAAGCGTTTCGTGCACGTACTCGTTCGGATTCACCCATTGCCAGCTGCTGGGTGCAACAAGAATGTCGCCACCTCTGATAGAAAATTGATTTCGCTGAAGAACTATTGGTGTCTTCATTTTTAACAGCGTTAAGTGGTCGTGTCATTACCGGCAAAGACCTTCGGCAAACTTCACGTCCCACACTGGTTTACCGGTGATAATGTAATGGGACATGGTCTCTGGGTCTCCGATAGACGTAAAGTAAGTTCTGCCGGAGGCTATCGCTAATTTTACTATTGTACAAATGTATTAAACGCGTTACAAGAAGGAACGATAATGGTTTGGTTTCAATGATCAAAAAATTAACTTTTTAATTTTACTTATTTACTGATATTATCAAATAAATTAGATCATTAGAATAAAATATTGCTATCAGAATTTTGCCTTGGTACGAACCTTTGAGCGTGACACCAACGTCGGTATCGTAAGTTCCAAAGTGTTTCTGAATGATGCAGGCGGTCTGCATTGCTTCGATCGCCAGATCGCGCATCATCATGCCATCGCTCAGTTTCCACATTACTATGAACGCGTCACCAGAGAATTTCAGCACGTCACCGTTATGAGACAGTATTTCCTGTACCATCGCACCGATATAACTGTTCAGCGTTTCCGTTAATTTCGATGGCCCGCCTTTACCTGTCTTCGTGTACTTCTCAGCGAGATCTGTGAACCCTATCGTATATTTCATTTTTTATACAATTCTTGTCAAAAGGAGAACTTATGCGTTATGAGCCTGGATTGAAGTCTTTTCTTTTTCTTTTATTTCTCTTCCCTGGGAAATAGCATTATTATTGAATTACATACCTGATACGTCACCAAGCATCAAAGTGGTGTAGTACATTCTAGTCTGATAGTTATCATAATGATCGAGAATTTCATCAGGACACATAGAAGCGAATATTTTCGTATGCTGTTCCAGTTTTATCTCCATCGTGCGTACCCGTCGTTTCTCATCGACTTCTGTGTGGTTTCCTTCAGTGCAACGAAAGAATCCTTAATTAAGTAGCGATGTAACGGGTGGCCAGTTAAAGTGGTTATCAGTTGACGCGGCTATCTAAACTTACCCCCTAGTCGTATCATTTTATGAACATCGTGCCGCAGGTCCCTCACCGAAGCAGTGTAACGCGGAGACGTCACATTCTATTGTTGCATTAATCTTTATTCGTTTATTACCTATTTCGATCGAATCTAAATGTACTATATAAACTGTATCCTTCGAAATAAAGACAAAATCGAACGATCACGAAGCTATCTTCAGAGCGTAAACTTCTATCCCAAAGAATCGACTCGATAACGAAAGTATTTCTGAATTTCAGCTACAGTATTTGATTAAAAGAAAGATTAATTTTCACCTGATAAAACGAGGTGGGTCTCCTCTTGGCTTCCACGGAAGTGGATTTACCGTCATTGAACATTGCGTTCGCAGTGACTGCGTCTGTACAGCTTCACAATTGCGATTCAACTAAAGATAGTCGCGTATTTGTAATTGCTTAGAACTTCAGACTATTTATCATTATTTTAGGTACATGAACTCTGTTCGTTTCGATTGTTACGAGGTTGTGCGAGGTTCGAAAAATGAAAGACACGTATATTTTCTTCGTTAAGTGTATTTATTCAACTGAATTGCGAGAGATCTATAAACCAGAGTTCTGGAGAAGGGTTGTCGGCGTTTAACAATGAATACACTTCTCGTGACAATAGACAATATGTGTTTATTTAATAGTTTCGCTATATAGATACTTATATGACTTGTCGCTCTAACAGATCGCTGCCTACAACGTGACGGCCGAATTTTATTGTGCCTGGCCCTACTATAGTTCCTTATTGTGCTTGAATCTATGATGGGTCGACGTCATCTTTGGTTTACTCTTAATTATTCATGTTTTTTTTCCATCTCTCTTTCCTCATACCGTCGGATGTCAGCTAACAATTGGATTATACTCGGTATCGTT